CGTAATTGACGAAGTGATCAGGCCACGCGTATGGTAATAATGTAAGCAAAGAGAGGATAAAACATTTGAACCTTTTACGGATTAATTAAACCCCAAGACAGAGAAGAAGGAAATTAACAATATTCTCATGTACGAAAAAGACTAGAACAGCTTTAGTGGTCTGATCTTTGATAATGTATACCCGAGTGCATCTTGCGTTTTTTTTTTTTGAGAGAGATGTCCGCAGGTGAGACAAAAGTGTTAATTTTAAAAATTATGATATGAGTTTATAGCGATGACCGCGAGTTCTTCCGACTTGTAGACGTTTCTGTTCGTGCATATTCACGACTGAAGCGACGTACACCAGATGAGCCTATAATACGAAATATACCAATTTGTGATATTAAAGTATTGAAATGAGAAACGACTGAGTTAAATGAAATAATAGCAATGTAATCGTGACAGAAGAAAAAATAATTTCTGACTTCTACCCCACAGCTTTCCTAAGCTTTCGAATTTTTAGAAAGCTGTACAAATTTTAGATTTTTTCCTGCTTTCATCATCATTCATAGATATCCTTCCATACTCTTCCCTTTCAGGCTGTGCGTATTGCTGCTGCTAGATTATAGCATAAATTTTATGTTATTGTTTCCATTATCGTCTCGTTATTGAAAAATGAAATAAGAAAAATACATTATTTCATGTGTACAATCAATATTGCTGCATTTAAAAGCATGGATCATAGTAAATAAAGACAGATTGCCTACGTTTGAGTAGCTCGATAACAAGAGCGAGATTTTATTGTACAATATTGATTTTACACAGCGAAATTTTGGTTCGGTATTTGTGCTTACCTGGATCACCTCGATACGGCGCTAGCACATTAGCAATTGCGTCGCCAACCTCATCATCGTCTGATCTGTCTGCCAAATTTGAATTCTCTGTGCTCAACTTTTGAGAAATACACTCATGGAAGTTCTGCATCTTCTGCTCTAGTCGAGTCAATCGCTCGATATACTGGCTACGCAGTCCCTGAACAGAGTATTTAATGTTAATATATAACACTGCAAAAGAGAGATTCACCATCTCCGGGTTGGAGCGCATGCTGTCAAGTTCGTTTTGTACAACATCAAGCAGTTGGTATAGTTCTTCCAATGAGTACTCGTGCTCAAGATCCAAAGGTTCATCAATGATCTAAATAGGTCAGGATTGCATTATAGAGTTTACTGCTAGCAGATATTTTGGCAACGTGAACTAAGTTTCACACAAACACTTTAAACATGTTTGA